AATAATAGATAAACGATAGACTAACTTACTAAATAAATAAAAAAATAAATGATTGCAAAAAAAGAATATAAAATTGAACAAACAAACAAACAAATAAATAAATTAGAGAATCAATCAATCAATCAATCAATTACTGAATAAATAAATAATAAACAATTGGTTGAACAGATCAACAATTTAATAAATAAATAAATAGGGTAAAAAGAACACATCAAATAAATACATACATGCATAAATACATACATACATTTCTTTGTGTCCAAAATGTTACATTTTAAATTAACTGACAAATTATGTCTTAATTATGGCATATTGACTGAGAGAAATTAAATTATGTGAAAAACAACAGGCCAGAGATTTGCCAGCATTAGTGACAACGCTTCGGAAAATATTTCAAGTGTTATTATTATATATTCTTGTCATCAAATTTTGTGACTAGCTTCATAAGATGTCATCTAAACCAGATATGGTGTAAAAGGGGTCCTTATTTTAAGTCTCTTGTTTGTTGCTGTGCTACTATAATATCAATTTTTAATTGTCATGACATGAGCAAATGAAGAAAATGTCATATTGTACTATGAATATAACAATATAGAGTACCTAGAAGTACACTCACATTCTAAAAGGAGACATATTTAGACACTAAGGGGCCCAGTCACTGCAGTCGAGTAACTCTGATATAAAGCATCACTGAGGTAAATGTCAAAAGGTCAGATATGTGTGTAAATTGCTTTGCCATGGCTCATATGGTCCTTTAAGTCTCCTACTTTACCATTATTAACGATTTGCTTAAATATCACAAATTACAAATGACGTTGATTTGATTTTGCAGTCAAATATGTTTTTTTTTTAACATGCTACTCTCAACTTGTTCACCACAAATATGACTGTTTTTGCTGTTCAGCAGTAGTAGGCAGCTCATAATTTGTCACACAGCGAGATGGATGGAGGAATTGGGGTTGGATTGCCATAGGAACCTGATATCCAGGCCATTATGAGTTACTGTAAATACTGTACCACACTTCTCTTCAACAAGTTTTCAGGACACACGTCCGCCAACGTCCCTCAGTACCAGGACCTTACGGAATGTAAATAATAACCACACATATGAAAAAATATAAGAGCTATATTTAATCAATGCATGTTGAGCTGCTTTAGCATAATAATAAAACTCAGACCTACTATTTTGGTTTGGCAGACAATAAAATGTAAAAAAAATAAAATAAAAAATCCTATTGCTTAATATTCTATATGTGAAGCATGTTTTGATTCATCAAAGTAAAAGGTTGTTTTGTTTTGTTTTGCACATAGAGATGACATGTTTGTTTGTTGGAGGACCCTGAGGATATTGTTTTTAAAATTGAATCATTCTGTTTTGTTTTGTTTTGTACATGGAGATAATATGTTTGTTTGTTGAAGGACCCTGAGGATATTGTTTTAAAAATGTAATCATTCTGTTTTGTTTTGTTTTGTTTTGTTTGTTTTGTTTTTAGTTTTGTACATGGATATAGCATGTTTGTTTGTTGGAGGACCCTGAGGAAATTATTTTTAAAATTTAACTGTTTTATGTTTTGCTTTGTTTTGTTTTTGCAGATAGAGATAACATGTTTGTTTGTTGGAGGACCCTGAGGAAATTGTTTTTAAAATGTAACTGTTTTATGTTTTGCTTTGTTTTGTTTTTGCAGATAGAGATAACATGTTTGTTTGTTGGAGGACCCTGAGGAAATTGTTTTTAAAATGTAACTGTTTTATGTTTTGCTTTGTTTTGTTTTTGCAGATAGAGATAACATGTTTGTTTGTTGGAGGACCCTGAGGAAATTGTTTTTAAAATGTAACTGTTTTATGTTTTGCTTTGTTTTGTTTTTGCAGATAGAGATGACATGTTTGTTTGTGGGAGGACCCTGAGGATTTTTTATTTTAAATGTTATCATACAGTTTTGTTTTGTTTTGTTTTGTTTTTGCACAGATGATATGTTTGTTTGTTGGAGGATCCTGAGGAAATATATATATATATACATTACAGTAATGGAAATCATCAGTATTAGTAGGAATAATAAGAATTGAAAAAAAACAACAACCACATTGTATGATGGATCGCTCATGAGCTGCAGCTAAAGATAACTACACATGTGAAATGGCCTGTAGAGCTACTTTAGCATTGGGATAAACCTCAGACTTTGATTTTGGCCTGGTGGATGAAAAAATGGGGAACAAATCCTTTCGATGTACAACACCCTAGCAATGTCATAGCAACAGCATAGTAAAACCCACTCTCACCACCCTAGCACCCTAACACTGTGGCAATGCCACTGACATTTTCTTCAGAAATATTAAAATTGTAGTTTTTACACAATAAACTGTGGATGCCTCATTCGTATATTACGCTCAATCACAGGGTAGGCCACACGTTTAGTTTCTGGAGTCACACACCTTGATCCACACACAGTTTTGTAGGTGCAAGAGTATTTAGCGCAAGTGCTAGACTAACACATTTGTCTGTTCCCTTTCAACAGCTTTACAATGTGGCTCTTCCTGTGAGCCTGAAGCACAAGTGCTGGGCGGAGGATGATTGCAAGTGTGTCGCAGAGGAGTGTGACGGAAAAAAAGCCTGTGGTAGTCAAAATATTATAAAAGTACTACTGCAACTACTAAGTTAATTGTCATCATTAATGACCAACAAGTCGTTTATTATATATATTTGGAATGAAATTAGGGTGAGTTAATAATAATGACAACATTTAATTTTGATGTGAAATATCTCTTTGATTAAGTAAAGCTTGATATAAAATATGAGTATGCATATAGAAATCCGTCTAGTCATCGTTAAGCTCACCACCTCAGCAAAGCGTGAATGCATTATGATCCATGAGTGTCACAACTTACAGTAAGAGTGGGCTGATGCATGACTATCGCCAATGGGACATCAAGACTTGCTTTCCCATACTGCCACCTAGAGGACAATGATAATATGACCGATAGTATAAATATTCTAGAGCCGATCGTATAAATATTCTAGAGCAGTATGAAGTATGTTTTGACCTTATCGTTTTTTTTTTTTTTGCACATAAAGATGACATGCTTGTTGGGGCTCGAACAAACCTGGGGAAACTGTTTTAAAAAATTTAATCTTACTATTATTTATTTTTTTATTTTATTTTTTTACGTTTATTCATTTAGCAGATGCTTTTATCAAAAGTGACTTAGAGAAGAGTTTAGAGTTTAATATTGTGTGTGTGTGTGTGTGTGTGTGTGTACATATATAACACAAAAGCATTATTACAGTGAAATGTAATATAATGCAAATGTGAAAATGTACAAATTTTAAATAAATGCAATTCTATGTACCTATAATGGTCTATGTAAATGTGGGATACAATATGATGTTGAATATGAAATGTGTCAGACCTCACAATAGTTTAATACTGCAGTTTTCTGCATTTCTTTTAACCCTTGAAAGTAAAAGAGAAAAATGTATATTTTTAATTTCACATATTTTTTAACTTTAGAGTATCTCATATTAAACTCGAAGCTATTTTTAAATGAAATTACACACTTAAAGCTGTTTTAAAATTAATTTATGCTCAATTCAGTCTGAAGAGTTATTCTGATCTGGCCCTAAAGTTTTGACCGTCCGTGTGTTTTGATGGTGGGTTGATGAGATAGTGTTACAGGCTGTAATCCCTCTCTGTAAGCCTTTGGGTCAGTGCAGGGGCTCGAACCCCCCAAGAGCACTACACTGCCAACAGCTGAACCAGCAGGGGCCAACCTGACTACTTCCCCTGAAATGAACACTTCACACACACACACACACACACACAAATGTACACCCCCACATACACTGTCTCCCACACATAAACATACACAGTTACACACACGAGAATATGCCAGCCCTAACCTCAGAACACATATGAGCACACGCATTATCCTGTGAATGTGTGTGGTCTTAGGTCTAATGTTTTGTCATGGTAATAAATAATGATAATTACAAAGACCCCTGAAACAAGGATGTAGAACACACACAGGGTAATATATTGTGAATTACAGTACAAAAACATACTGTGTGATTAAAAACACTACTGGTAGGAGTTGATAGGAACTGTAAGCAGTTGCTGTCTTGTTTTGTCTACCCATAATGTTTATGCCCAATATTACAGTTTTTCTCAGTCGCTTTCTCAGATCAGAGTTGAAATTCTGAAAACTTAAAAGACTTGTTCAACCTCCACATCATCTAGTCATTTGCGCACATCATTAAAGCAATTTCTCATTCTTTGAACAAATTGCCAATGCTTATTCGTTAATGCAATTGATTATGTACAGTTTCTTGTACATTATCAATTGCCAGTTTTCTAAAATAGCTCAGAGGTGCAGCTCATGAAGCTTCAGTTAGCAAGCATATATAGACGGAGGACAACTTAGTATAATTTCTTATAATGGAAGAACAAAAAGAAAAACACTGTCAACAGCCAGGAAGAAGAAGAGGAGTGATGTGTGGTGGAAGGGTAGGGAGGCAAAACAGAGGAAGAGGTAGAAGAGACAAAGGACATAGGCATGTTTCTGATGAAATAAGGGCCACTATTGTGCACCATGTTCTCAGTCATGACCTTACGTGTGCAATTGAATATTGGGCATTCAAGCATTTCGTATACAGAACAGGTACACATTTTACAGTATAGAGTAAATATACATTATACCAGAGGTGTAAAGAATTTGAGTAAATGTAATTAATGACTGTACTTGAGTATCAAAGATATTAGAAACTTTTACTCTCTACTTCACTACATTTTTGAATAAGCATCTGCACTCTTTACTCCAGTACATTTGTAAGGAGTGTTGTAATTACACATTACATTTTGCATGGCACATAGCTTTTTCTGCAGCAGTTTATTTCTGCTACAAATGAAGTAATATCGCCAACTACAGGGCACTGAAAGTACTATATCTTGTGTGATTTGCCCTTACCCAATATTGTCAACAAGGCCATTAAACTGTCCATCAAATACCTATATTTAGTAGAAGTAAAATAGTTAAGTACTGTTAAAATCAGATTCTCTAAGACTTTTATTCAAGTTGTTTTGGAATTGGTGACTTGAATTGGTGACTTGTAAATTGTAGTGGAGTAATTTTCACTGTAAGGTATCTGTGCTTTTATTCAAGGATGGTTTTCAGGTACTCTTTACACCTCTGCTTTATACAGATATTATTTTATGTAGTGCATTGACATTGTACTGTAATTTGTTGTCAGACCACCTATAAAATCATAGGCCTACACGTGAATCCTGTCAGGTTTCTTGAGATCATTATCCCATATATTGTAATACAGTATGTGCTGCTGAAATTGATAGCCATACAAAAAAAAATTCTTACAGAATTAAAGCCTTACAGAAAGAAAAGTGCACTGTTTTTGGCGTAGATAGATAGATAGATAGATAGATAGATAGACGTCCAAACATCGTCTGTGGCTTCACTTCCCACTTTATGTGGTCACTGTATGTGAAAAATGAAAAGGTTTCGTGTTAGAGAGCACTTTGAATTGGCACCATCCATGTCGGCATGCGTAATAAAGCTAACGGCAAAATTACGGCAGCAGGACTCGACCTATGAAATACCGGCGCTGATACTCCACCGTCCGCTCACACAGCTGACTGACTGACTGACTGACTGACTGACTGACGGGACGCCAGCACAAAGACACACACCCGGAAAACACCCGCCGTTCAGCATGGAGCGAAAAGTGGCGAAGGAATTTCGGCATAAGGTGGGCTTTGAAAAGGCTACTGTCTAATTAAAAATATGCGATGATTGTTTTGTTAGCATTATCAGTTATTATTGGTCTAGTTCCTTTGCTCTCGCTGCTCAGGAATGGCGAAGGAGCATGGATTCTTCATTTTTACGCAATAAAATATTACCAAAGTAAGTAAAATTGATGTTCGGCCAGCTTTCGACACGAAAAGTACTTCTGTATCCATAGAAACCGTCGTTATTTGATCGGTTAACTTTGTTTTGCACTGAAAAGGTAGCATCATTTGCCAGTTTTAGACGTTTTTATCATTACAGTTAACATGCTACTAGTATAGTTTAATGATTTCGACGTAATGACGTATTTAGCCTAATTTTATTGCTTTACATAAGTCAGAGGTTCACGTAAAGGCGTAATTTACCGGTAGAAAGGTATGCTATGTGTGGCGTCACATAATGTACGCGTTCTGATTGGCTGAGGAGGTGACAGGTGTACTATGTGTGCTGGAAATAGTTGTAAAACAGGTATTAATTACTTTTTATCTCCTAAACGTGAAGTTAAGACTTCGTTGTAGTTGCATTACAATTTTAATTTACACTGAATTATTTCATTCTGATACCTATTTATATGCTTCATGCTTATTTTTAAGACACCATATGACCCCTGTGTGTAATTGTAGAATTGTACCATCTGTTGTGTGGTGCATGGAGTTACACAATGGACAGTTTTTTTCACAGCATTTGCTGAAGTGACAGAGATGTGTGGCCAGGCGGAAATGATTGCTGCGTTTATTGTTCAGCTGGTCTTATTGCCTGTAGATGGGGGTGGGAAAGCTGTGCCACACTACAAATTAGAAAGCTTTGCATTTCATTTTGGTTTCTCCTCTATGACATGAAACGCATTGTGCTGTTGACCTTTCTGTTCATTAGTCTCTTTCAAATCACTTAGCATAAACTGAAGAGGATATGAAGCTGATTTTAGTTATAGATATCTGCTTTCAGCATCAGTTTATAAAGGTGGACTGTCATCTGTTTATGACACCTTAAATAGCCTTTGAGTGCACAGTCACTGTTTTATTATATGTGGCTTGACATTGGTGTCGATATGGAACAAATTGGATATGCTTTTTATTTCCCCACAGTGTTCATATAGTTCACAGACTTATTCATTTATTATGAATATATATATTTTTAAATAATTAAAATGTTCATGTAATAGGTAATTATTGTTAACACAAAATTAGAATACAAAAATAAAAACATTACAATTTTTATTTGCATTTACATTTAACTTCTTGTATTTGAATAATTAAATGTTGTTCTTGTTATTTAATTGTAAAATATATCAATCCATTCATCCAACCATGTACATATTTCTTTCTTTCTTTCTTTCTTTCTTTCTTTCATAATGCCCATTTTATTTATTTGTTTGTTTTTTAAGCCATTTTATATGTTTGTTTTGTTCATCCATTCGTTTTTGTTTGTTCATTCAGTCCATTACATTTATTTATTTATTTATTTGTTTGTTTTTTAAGCCATTTTATATGTTTGTTTTGTTCATCCATTTGTTTTTGTTTGTTCATTCAGTCCATTACATTTATTTATTTATTTGTTTGTTTGTTTGTTTTTTAAGCCATTTTATATGTTTGTTTTGTTCATCCATTCGTTTTTGTTTGTTCATTCAGTCCATTACATTTATTTATTTATTTATTTATTTGTTTGTTTGTCCGGACACTTTATTTATTTGTTTGCTTGTTTTGTTGGTTCATTTGCTTGTTCGTTCATTCAGTCCATTCAGTTTCTTTGTCCAGACATTTATTTGTTTGTTTTGTTCATTTGTTTGTTCATTCATTTTATTTATTTATTTGAAATTAAGAAGTTTGGCTTTTCTGTCGAGCATGTTAACCTCACATCACATTAATTTCATTAGCATTCTTTTGATAATAATGCACCAACACTCTTATGTAAGATGACACTGCTAGCATGATAAATGTCTTTATATGAGCTCAGGAACAGTTCAGTGGAGCAGATCTGAACTAATGATACTCACAATACAGGAAAAGATCCACCTGACCTATTCAACTAAAAACAACAGCAGACCCAGCCAATCTGAGAGACGCTTGACTAACAGACACACAACAGTTCCTCCACCTCCTTTCTCTGTCCTGACCTCTCCTCCTCACTCCACCTTTTCCTGACCTTCCGTCTTAGTCTCTCACTCAGTGAGAGAGAGAGATGTGTTACATCATTGACTGGCCAAAACGCTTCCTCAAAACATTTCTACAGCAGATTAGCCACCACCAGGTAAAAGATGGGCAAATGATTGCTTTTCTGATTATCAGTGATGATCTGACCAGAGGTTTGTGTGTTTGTGCTGTGCAGGTGGAGCTGCTAATTGATAATGAAGCGGAGAAGGACTATCTCTATGATGTTCTCCGCATGTACCACCAGTAAGTACACTCTAAAATATTTAATAATAATAATAATAATAACCTTAGAACACATAGTCACAGTTTTATAACATGTGGCCTGACATTGGTGTTGATTTGGAGCAATTTGAATATGCTTTTTTATTTCCCCACAATATTCACATAGTTTACTGACTTATTCATTTATTATGAATAATATTTTAGATTTGTAATAATTAAAATATTAATGTAATAGGTCATTATTATTAATACATAAAAAAAAGTTAAATTAAATTATTAATAATAATAATAATAATAATATGATTATTATTAGTGTTTGCTGTTATTCAAAATATACAATATAAAAAGAAGAATAAAAATCATAATAATTATTGTTGTTGTTGTTAATAAAATATACACTATAATATAATTATTATTGTTATTGTTAGTAATAATAATAATAATTATTATTATATTGTATATTTTGAATAATAATAATAATAATGTTGTTGTTTTGAACTGCATATGCCCCAAAAAATGCAAAATGATGAGCAATTTGTATTACTATTACTCAGATTTAGGGTTAGCAATTTGAGCAAACTACTTAGCAACCACCAGAACAACCTAGCAACCACTTAGAAAACCATAGCTACCAGAAAATGTAAAGAGAAAATGTACAATTTGTAAAACTGTTTTATTGCAGTTGACAGATATTACATACTTCTTCATTAAAGTGAATATTTTAAAATGTGATAAGAATATAAATAGAATACAAATATCTCAGCAGCAGTGGTGCATACTGGAAAGTTTTAGAGGCTGATAAATAATGTAATTTTCCATCAGTAGTTCTGGTAATCTGTTGATCAAATGAAAACTGCATGGCACATTCAGAAGAAGAAAAGTATTCAGTGTCTGTTTATCTGAGTGTAACAGTAGGAAATGCTGAATGCATTCCCTCAGCTCTTTATTTGTGATCTTGTGTGTAAATCAACACGTCGTTTCTCAGCTGGACTGGAATGAGAGGCTTAAGCCAATGGAAAAGTAACTTGGATCAGATCATTTCCACTGTCCTCCCTTCATTCAAGGGCAGCCATTCTCTTGTGTCCCTTTGTCTCTGATATACGAGTCAGGAATGAAATATCAATGATTTATAGAGCAGCTGCCTCGAAATTCATAAGCTGACTTTATGTTGTGGGTATAAAGTGTCATTTTCCACAACAAGCAACAAATCAGACGGTTTTTGAAATAATTATTATAAGCTAATATCTTTCAAAATCACAGCAAATACTTTCATATAGGCTAGAAATGCCATTGATGACCAAATTAATTTTGCTCTTTTTTTTTTTTTTTTTTAATATGTATATTACCTCTTTGAGTTGACAAATATTGGAAGAATTTAATATCAGGGCTTTTTTCAATTCAAATGACATTTTCCAACTTTCTATGCCTTTTTATAAAAGGAAAAGCCTAATTTTTCTTGAAGCATGTAAAATCCTTGAAAATAATAATAATAATAATAATTTCGGCTATAAATATCAGCCAAAATTTCTGACAGTGCATCGCTAATTTTCATTACCATAGCATACTGTAAAAACACTCAGTATAAGATTTAAATCAGTATTTTTTACATTTATATCATGATGTATTAACTTTCATGATACTGTAATGTGAATGAGGCTGTATTTTGCATTACAGTATTGAGAACTGGTGGTAAAATGTTGTTGTATTATTTTAATAAAATGTCAAACTATAAAATGTTGTATACATTTTTATAAAATTTAAAATTAATTTATTTTTAATCTTAGAAACCTGTCTGGCACATTGTTTTTGCAATTCTGTTTGGTGGTGCAGAATTTAGACACTTATTCTATCCTAACCTTATTCTATGAACAATTGCTTTATGCTTTATATCCATGACCTTTCATTTAACTTGATGGAACATATGAAATAATGATTTATTAACAGAGATTCGGTATCAAGACAGTATGTTGAATCAGTTGTAGTCTAAGAAAAGTTCTTTTAATCCACAAACTGTTTGTGCTGGTCTAATGTAGCCCTCCTGTTTGCATGTGCTCAATCAGGTCCTGTTTAAATCACTCTGCTCTGCCCTTTATAGATCCATGGACATTCCTGTCCTGGTCGGCGACCTGAAGCTGGTGATAAATGAGCCCAAACGCCTTCCGCTGTTTGATGCCATCAGACCTCTGATTCCTCTGAAGCACCAGGTGCAGTACGACCAGCTCACGCCCAAGAGATCCAGGTGAGAGAGGAAACCAGGAACACAGACAATAATGAGGTGTTAAACAGGGGTTAATAGGGTGCAATCCTTCTGAGAATCATGGAAATGTTTCTGTGCATGAATAGCAGAGGAATAAAGACAGAGAGAAAGAGGACATTGGAAATGAGAGGACGAGGTAGAATGACAGGCAACGCTCTCATCACCAAACAGAATCATTGTTTTCTCTCATGCTCAGTCAGACGTGGCAAAGGAACAGCGTTATGAGCACAGAGAGAGGAGCGCTATTCAACTGTGCCTGATTCACAGCGCTAATAGGGCCACAATGAACTGGATTCGGTTACCTCTCGTTATGTCTTTTGTCTTTCTCAGAGAAAAGAGGAAAGAAGGATAAAAATATTATATATTTTATTATATATATCTGGGTTATTATAGTTAACTAAAAATAAAACTGAAACCGTAAAAAAATATTTTCATTACTTAAAATAAATTAAAAGTTAACAGAAATATATGAAAATATGAAAAACTTAAACTTATTTTATTTTAGCTAGTTGACAAGGCAATTTCTCATTTTCATTGTTTATTTACTAATGTAACTAAAACTAAAACTTAAATAAAAATTAATAAAAACTATACAGACATACTTAGAAAAAAATACAAACAAAAATAACTAATAAAAATGACCTAAAAATATTAGGGATATTAATATATTAAATAGTATAGTAGAGTATAGTAGATTATAAATACCTACATCCATATACTGTATGTGTGTGTGTGTGTATATATATATATATATATATATTATTAGAATTGGTGGAACATGATACATTTCACTAAATATATTCACTACACAATAGATATGTTAAATGTGGTCAACTGATTGTAGATGCCACTATTTTGTCCTCTTGTTATGAGCAGGAAGTTGAAGGAAGTCCGTCTGGACCGCACACATCCTGAGGGTCTGGGTTTGAGTGTTCGAGGTGGGCTGGAGTTCGGCTGTGGCCTCTTCATATCACAGATAGTCAAAGATGGACAGGCAGGAAATGTCGGCCTACAGGTAACAAAATCAAGAAGAGGTTGTTATAGCTTACATATAGCACACATTGCTTTCACCGTTTCAGCAAATAATGTCCTGTGTAGCAAATGATGGGTCACGTTTGTAAAAGCTAAAGTACACACTCTCTTGCCTTATATTAAATATCTGAGAACAGAAAATGTTAAACATTCAATTTGAAATGAGTATTTAACATGGGCTGCACAAAAAAAGTAATCAGTGCATCTTCTTTCCACTAGGGGGCGCAATAAGCCTCCTTAAATTCTTCGTGTTCTCTGATCCAAACACTGTTTTTGTCCTCTTATGTAACCTCTATGATTAATGTTTGTCCTGCAGATAAAGTCAAAGAATTAAAATGCAGCCCTTGTGTTTCTAGTGCAAACTCTGCTAATTTTGTGATGACAGAAACTTTGAAATATGAAAATATTCTGGTATAATTCAAGTATTTTTTGTACTACATTTTTATACAAATTTTATATAACATTTTATATGAATGAGGTTTGCTGTGTTTTCTTCAGGTTGGCGATGAGATTGTGCGTATTAATGGCTACTCCATCTCCTCCTGCATTCATGAGGAGGTCATCAACCTCATCAAGACCAAGAAGACTGTATCTCTGAAAGTCCGCCGTAAGGTTTTATATGAGCAATATCACTCGAGTACGAGAGTGATATTGTGTTTATACAACAGTTCGACGGAACATGTGTGTAATTAAACAAGAAACAACGGAGTGCCTAATAAAACCCTCTTTTGTGCGGAACTACTTCCTTCCGCCACGGATTCAAAGCTCAAGTTGACAGTTAAACATACGTCACTTTTAGAATTTGTATCAAGGGCATGTGCTGTTTTATATTGTAATCTGCAGAGCTGACTTTGTTAATTAGAGCCAAAATTAATTGCCTCTAGTTCCACTGGGGTTAATTAATTGATTTAGCTGTAGCTCTCAGTTGCAGTGACTCAATCACAGTTGAATTATGATTGATTTAACAGTTGAACAATTCATGAGGAAACCATGTCTTCCTCAGAGAATCCATTATTGGGCCTGCTGTTAGCTAAATATATTACTTATTCATTAATTATTGATGTTTTTTTATTATTATTCCCATTGTGACACTCTCTTCACAGATGTGGGAATGATTCCTGTCAAGAGGTAATTTGGGGTTATCAGTCACTTGAATTACACAAAATTCTCTAATATGTGGAATAACTTTTATTAATGTTCCCTCTTTTGTTTATTTCCATAATGATATTGCTAAATTATGAATTTGTCATAATCAGCTCCTCTGAAGACCCTCTGAAGTGGCAGTTTGTGGATCAGTTTGTTTCTGAATCCGGGGTAAGTGTTTTCTTCTGGCAGCATCCTATTTTAAACCAGCTCAAGTTATATTTTTATTTAGCCCTGTTTTTATTGTTACGTCTCAGGAGAAGAAGACTAGTGTGGCTGGTCTGACTTCGATTGGAGGAAAAGTAATCAAGGAAAAGAAAGTATTCCTTAGTTTGGTGGGCACCAAAGGCATGGGAATCAGGTAAACGAGAGATTGGATTACTATAACTATACACACTACAGCACACAGATGAGCTGCTTTGAAAAGTATGAATAAAACCATTTATTTATTGGGATTATGCCCACATATGTGAAAAATGTCATGAAGTACACTGCATAAAAATATGTTTGTCTTTGTACTTAAATGCTGCTGTGTTCCTTTGCTGTCTTCACTAAGCTTTATTGTTTTGATTTGAAACTTACTTTTATAAGTTTAATCTTTTGACTGTCCATTATAGCATATCGAGTGGACCAACACAGAAACCAGGCATCTATGTGAGCAATGTGAAGCCGGGTTCAGTCTCATCTGAAGTGGGATTACAGGTCATTTTATTGAACTGCATTAATAGACCATTACTGTTGTATTTTAGAGTAGTAACACACTCATATATGTGTGTGTGTGTGTGTGTGTGTTGTTGTGACTTGTAGGTTAGCGACCAGATTGTGGAGGTCAATGGGGTGGATTTCACCAACCTGAGTCATCAAGAAGTGAGCAGGATTTTGCTGAAACAATTATTTAAGAACCTCTCTGCATAGCTAAACCGGTAACTGTGTTGGCTAATGCTTGTGTTTTCAGGCAGTGCGAGTGTTAAAGAGCAGCAGGAGTCTAACCATCACTGTCCTCACTGGAGCTGTAAGTTCACTGTGAGCCCACTAATACATCTTAAAGACCCACTGCAATCTCTCTCTGAGGGGCTGTGTGGAAAAGAAAGCCATTTGCTTAGTATGAAACTGTTTAATTGACAGCTGAGGGTAATATATTGTGAAGATGTTGTTTGTATTGTACTGTAAACCTCTTCATTATTTATTGGTGTGTTTGTCTTTAACTCTTACTTTTTCACTTTAGAGATGGTAATTATGTAGAAGTTTCATAACAAGCTTTTGTGATTCAGGCGTGTGTAGCAAATCAGCTCAAAGGGGAAATATGAATAATTAATCATAACTAGTTACTGAACACTACACAAGCTAAGCCCTATTCAGACAGTTCTCTTCAGACTGTATTACGAATGCCTGTAAAAAAAAAAAAAAAAAACATTTGCATGGTTCCTCCAAGATAAAACATAACTTTGTGACAAAATTCTATGTATATAAGCCTACATAAGTGCCAAATAGCCAGATTCTAGCAGCGTAAGTGTTAAATAGTTAAACAGAAACACAGACAGGCACATGTAAATCCTGAAATTACCTTACATTCTCATGTACAACAATCATGTAGGACTATAGACATAACAATGCACAAATACATCAAACACAAGACAAAACACAAATGTTAGTAATACAGCTAAAGTCTTAACTAAAAGCCGTTAAACCCTACTTTACAATACATCAATGCATGTTTTCTTGAATTATAAAAAATATCCTATAGAATCCTTAATACAATCCTTTTATTATAAAAATATTAGGTACTGTTGTCTTGTGGTTAAAACAAAAATCCATATATATACCGAATATCCACTTTATAATGGTTTTCATTATCATTAAAATACTTCTTTATGTTGTATAATGTACCTAAATACATCATTGATTACGTTTTAAAAGAAATATAATTAAAATTGTTATATTATATAAAACATGTGAGTCTTTGCTTTTTCATGATGTTAGTAATCTGATGATTCATAACTGCTGATGAAAAGGTGTCAAATAATTAAAATTCCTGAATGGAATCTGAAAAGTTATACATTTTAATGTTTCATATGTGCAATATTTTGCAGGAGGAAGATGGAAATATCGCAGAAGACTGCAGATGAAGAGGAACGCCATCACAAAGAGATGGAGAGGTAACACTTGTGTTATGTTGCTAAGCAAAAACATCTTCAAAGTAAATAGACCTCAGAAGGCAGACTAGAGTAAATTGATGTTGATGAAAGCAATGCTGTGAGGAATGGAAGTACAGATTGTTCTATACTATGCTGTAGGTCACTTTTAGTTTTCACAGCCCATGTTTTGGTCCAGTGGAAATGTGTTTTATATTAAATATGACATTGATGAATTTAATTTAACAAATTTAATTTGTTAAATGTAAAAGGGATCTTTTGTTGACTGTGTTGATGGTCATTCCAAATAAATAAATAAATATATATATATATATATATAATTCTGAATATATAAATGTAAATTGTACATATATATATATATATATATATACACATCATCATTATGAATATAAAGTTATAATTCTGAAAATATAATTGTAAATAAAATTTATATATTTGGAAATCCTGAACATATAATCAGGGATATATAATGTCTACATCCCAATATAATTATATTTTATTATTTTTTAAATGAAAATATTATGCCTATACATCCTGTATACAGGTATCAATGCAAATATTGTACTATATTAATTATTGTAAGTGCATCTGGTATATATAATTATTTCCTATTTGGCATTTCATAATATATATAGGCTTGTCAGGATAGATGTTCATTTAAAGGCACAATATGTAATTTTCGCCGCTAGAGGGCGCGTATTCAAAATAAACAAATAGACAAAGGCGTAGTTTGATGACGCCGTGACTGAGTGTGGAATCATGGGAGTTGTCGTCTTCATCCCCACAGCCGATGCA